ATTTTATCGTATATATAATGAATTAATACCATAAACTGAAAATTCACAAAAACGTGGAAAAACGGCAAAATATTGCCTAATTCGATGATATTTTGTTTAAATCACATAGAGGAAAAGGGGATGATAAACGTCAAAATATTGCTAAATTCGATGATTTCTCGTACAAAACAAAATGCAAGAAATTTGCTTAAAATGCAATATGTTGCGACATTCTGAGATTTGAAGGCCAAATCACATATTGTGATACTACATGAAATAGTATCGAAATATTGGTATAAATCAATATATTTACGTAATATCAAACTACATGAAAAACGTGAAAAAAGTCACTATTTTACCATATTTGAGGATTTAATCTTCAAATCATAGAGCGAGGTTTCGTATTATTTAGATCCAAGAAAAGACATAAGACAATGTTGTTTCCAATACAAATGATAAAAATCAATGTGTTTTCATTAGAATTAACTAAAATGTTCTTGATTTTCCGTTATTATTACCGATGGAAGATGTTCACGAAAACCGCTCTATTCCGGCTGATACGTCGATATATGCAATAAAAACAGAACTTCTCCCCTTTTCAATATCTTACTCAGTATCTTAACGAGAAACAAATAGTTGATAGAAAATGAAGTATTTAAGTTAATTTCTAATTTCTAATTAAATTGAGGATTTTAACTTCAAATCATTGAGCGAGGTTTCGTATTATTTAGATCCAAAAAAGACATATGACAATGTTGTTTCCAATACAAATGATAAAAATCAATGTGTTTTCATTAGAATTAACAACAAAAACCTGATTTTCCGTTTATATTACCGATGGAAGATGTACACGAAAACATCTCTATTCCGGCTGAAACGTCGATATATAACAATAAAAACAGAACTTCTCCCCTTTTCCATATCTTACTCAGTATTTAACGAGAAACAAATAGTTGATTGAAAATGAAGTATTTTAAGGTATTATCTAATCAATTATATGTTTGCATCATTTTTATCGTATATATAATGAATTAATACCCATAAACTGAAAATTCACAAAACGTGGAAAAACGGCAAAATATTGCCTAATTCGATGATATTTTGTTTAAATCACATAGAGGAAAAGGGGATGATAAACGTCAAAATATTGCTAAATTCGATGATTTCTCGTACAAAACAAAATGCAAGAAATTTGCTTAAAATGCAATATGTTGCGACATTCTGAGATTTGAAGGCAAAATCACATATTGTGATACTACATGAAATAGTATCGAAATATTGGTAAAAATGAATATATTTACGTAATATCAAACTACATGAAAAACGTGAAAAAATTCACTATTTTACCATATTTGAGGATTTAATCTTCAAATCATAGAGCGAAGTTTCGTATTATTTAGATCCAAGAAAAGACATAAGACTATGTTGTTTCCAATACAAATGATAAAAAACAATGTGTTTTCATTAGAATTAACTAAAATGTTCTTGATTTTCCGTTATTATCACCGATGGAAGATGTTCACGAAAACCGCTCTATTCCGGCTGATACGTCGATATTTGCAATAAAAACAGAACTTCTCCCCATTTCAATATCTTACTCAGTATCTTAACGAGAAACAAATAGTTGATTGAAAATGAAGTATTTAAGGTTAATTTCTAATCAATTATGTGTTTGCATCATTTTTATCGTATATATAATGAATTAATAACAATAAACTGAAAATTCACAAAAACGTGGAAAAACGGCCAAATATTACCTAATTCGATGATATTTTGTTTAAATCACATAAAGGAAAAGGGGATGATAAACGTCAAAATATTGCTAAATTTGATGATTTTTCGTATGAAACAAAATGCAAGAAAACTTGCTTAAATTGCAATATTATGCGAAATTCTGAGATTTGAAGGCCAAATCAAATATCGTGATACTACATGAAATAGTATCGAAATATTGGTAAAAATGAATATATTTACGTAATATCAAACTACATGAAAAACGTGAATGTAGTCACTATTTTACCATATTTGAAGATTTTAACTTCAAATCATAGAGCGAGGTTTCGTATTATTTAGATCCAAAAAAAGACATATGACAATGTTGTTTCCAATACAAATGATAAAAATCAATGTGTTTTCGTTAGAATTAACAAAAAAAAAAACCTGATTTTCCGTTTATATTACCGATGGAAGATGTAAACGAAAACATCTGAATGCCGGCTGAAACGTCGATATATTCAATAAAAACAGAACTTCTCCCCTTTTCAATATCTTACTCAGTATTTTAACGAGAAACAAATAGTTGATTGAAAATGAAGTATTTAAGGTTATTATCTAATCAATTATGTGTTTGCATCATTTTTATCGTATATATAATGAATTAATACCCAGAAACTGAAAATTCACAAAAACGAGGAAAAACGGCAAAATATTGCATAATTCGATGATATTTTGTTTAAATCACATAGAGGAAAAGCGGATGATAAACGTCAAAATATTGCTAAATTCGATGATTTTTCGTACGAAACAAAATGCAAGAAAACTTGCTTGAAATGCAATATTATTCGACATTCTGAGATTTGAAGGCCAAATCACATATTGTGATACTACATGAAATAGTATCGAAATATTGGTAAAAATGAATATATTTTACGTAATATCAAACTACATGAAAAACGTGAAAAAAGTAACTATTTTACCATATTTGAGGATTTAAACTTCAAATCATAGAGCGAGGTTTCGTATTGTTTAGATCCAAGAAAAGACATAAGACAATGTTGTTTCCAATACAAATGATAAAAAAACAATTAGAATTAACTAAAATGTTCTTGATTTTCCGTTTATATTACCGATGGAAGATGTACACGAAAACCGTTCTATCCCGGCTGAAGCAGTGAAGAGGAGTGTCACGTGCTTCTGTAGAGGTGGTGAAGCACCATAGTTGTTCGAGGAAACTTCATGGTGTAGCAGCCAGGAGAGCTGAGGAGGACCCTAGTAGAGGTAGTGTAGCACTATAGTTGCCCAAGGAAAACTTCATGGTGTAGCAGCCTGGAGGAGCTGCAGAGGATCCTGGTAGTTCCTGAAGAGATCAGGGTAGTGAACGTCCCGATATGGAAGGGAAGTTCTAAAGGATTACTTATAGGGAAGTGATAGAGTGTTTGGTTGTCCTTAGGGTGCAAGGCGCAGTGAAAGGTGAGTGATTGTTTGCCGTTCTTGTGCCGAGGAGAGTCTATACTGAAGCATAGAGTTACAGACGTAGGTTGGATTACCTACAGATGTATGTGTTTTAGGACTGATAGGGTGATCGATTGATCATTGTTGTGTATCAATATATGTTATTGCATTCATACGCTGATTTTCCTTGTACATGTTTATATATATATTCTCTCGCTGATAGTGCAACATTGTAGTATAAGACTTGATCGACTTGAGGAGGTAGATAGTATCAGGTGGGGAATCAGAAGATTGGATACCACTTGGTAAGTTGATGATAGAGTTCTGATGGTGTTGGAGTGCAACCTGACTAAAATAGTATAGAGTGTAGGATTCATTATTATTATTATTGTATGTGTGTATGTACTGTGTATGTGCTTTGTCCAGTAAATGTATTCAAATTTGCTGGTGTTTGGCCTTGTCCTAGTGAGGCTTCCCAAGAAGTAGTAAAGAAGGAGAGAGAGAAAGAACCAAGAACCACTGCTGTGGACAGGGTAGGACGTAAAATTAATAAGTCAAAGGGGGATTGAGGAGATCATATCACATAAGGAGAAAGTGGGGAACCCAGCTGGCGACCTTGTCAAAAGATAGAGAAGGCAGGCGGGAAAGGAATTCCTGCAACTTTTTGTCTGGCAGGAGAGACTCAGGGGAAGTTATTGTTAAAAGGTAAGCCTGGGTCTTCCTTCACTTCTCCATGGGTCTAGGCCGGAATTGCTAATGGCAGTTTCCCCGTGGTTGACTGAAGGGCTTCCAGGGTGAATCAGTGGCACCCCTAGTGGTGGGGGCAAAGACCTGCGGTGGTGGGTATTACTGGTCCTCTCCTGTGGGACCAGGAGACTCCGGTGAGTCCCAAGAGTCGGAGGGGCTGAGTATTCTGCCTTCTGAGCCCCTTAGCAGCCGACTGCTAGCAGAGCCCCAGCCCACCCCCTGTGACAGTATCCAATGTAACTCCTCGAAAGTCAACGTTTCATCAGTTTCTTCCCCACTCAATCAAACTTCATCTTCTCCATCACTACAATCGGTATCGTAACTACTACGGCATAAGTAATTGAATATCCAATGTAACTCGTCGAAAGTCAACATTTCATCAGTTTCGTCTCCACTCAAGCAAACTTCATCTTCTCCATCACTACAATCACTACATTCGTAACCACTACGGCACAAGTAATTGATTATCGAATGTAACTCGTCGAAAGTCAACGTTCATCAGTTTCTTCCCCACTCGAACAAGCTTCCGTTTCGTCTCCACTTAAGCAAACTTCATCTCTCCATCACTACAATCGGTATCGTAACCACTACGACATAAGTAATTGATTATCGAATGTAACTCGTCGAAAGTCAACGTTTCGTCCCCACTTGAACAAGTTTCGGTTTCATCCCCACTTGAACAAGCTTCAGTTTCATCCCCACTTGAACAAGCTTCGGTTTCATCCCCACTTGAACAAGCTTCGGTTTCATCCCCACTTGAACAAGCTTCAGTGTCGTCCCCACTTGAACAAGCTTCATTTTCATCCCCACTTGAACAAGCTTCAGTTTCTTCCCTACTTGAACAAGCTTCAGTTTCATCCCCACTTGAACAAGCTTCAGTGTCGTCCCCACTTGAACAAGCTTCAGTTTCATCCCCACTTGAACAAGCTTCAGTGTCGTCCCCCACTTGAACAAGCTTCAGTTTCATCCCCAATTGAACAAGCTTCAGTTTCATCCCACTTGGACAAGCTTCAGTTTCTTCCCCACTTGAACAAGCTTCAGTTTCATCCCCACTTGAACAAGTTTCAGTGTCGTCCCCACTTGAACAAGCTTCAGTTTCATCCCCACTTGAACAAGCTTCAGTTTCATCCCCACTTGAACAAGCTTCAGTTTCATCCCCACTTGAACAACCTTCAGTTTCCTCCCCACTCGAGGAATCTCTTACCTTCACATTGCATTCATCATCTTGCGGGTGGTAAGGAAGCCAACGGGTGATGATCAAGAAACCTGCCACAGCTCCGCCCATTATCAACAACGCACGAATTTTTAAGAATCTTTCAGTCATCTTCACCGCCATCTTACCATCTTCACTAACGACAGAGCCAACGATGGGTCCATTAACGGGTCCAATGATGGAGCCAATGATGGGTCCATTAACGGGTCCAATGATGGAGCCAATGACGGGTCCATTAACGGGTCCAATGATGGAGCCAATGATGGGTCCATTAACGGGTCCAATGATGGAGCCAATGACGGGTCCATTAACGGGGCCAATGATGGAGCCAATGATGGGTCCATTAACGGGTCCAACGATAGACCCAATGACGGGTCCATTTACGGGTCCAACGATAGAACCAATGACGGGTCCATTTACGGGTCCAACGATAGAGCCAATTATAGGTCCAAATCTTTTTCCCTCTTCATAAACATGATTTTCAAATGAAGAAATTAAACAAATTCCAGAAGTGACCGCGAGAAACATCAGGAACATTTTCATCATTACGGATACGTTCATTTTGTGGATACTAAATTTGGTGTTTTACTAGTAACTCTAGTAATACCTATATAATATATATATATATATATATGCAGTTCCGCCGGCCATTATTATAATGCAATATCTAACATCTGTTAATATAGTAAACTTGGAATTGGTGATAGGATTTGACCCCGGGTGTTGTAAAAGGTAGCTTTGGTGGCAGTGTTGGAGAAGGTGACAACGATCATGAGGTGAAATGGGAGAGTTAGGAGGGGAAGAGATTGTAACAATGCTAAGTGTTTTGCACTGTTTCATGTTATAATTGTGAGTTGCGTATGTGTGCGGGATTGATGGAGAGTGTGGTTGTAGTGGGTGAGGCAGAGTGAGGTGTTGACTAGCTATAATCTGCTGACAAGTGTTATGACCCCAGGTAGCCTGAAGAACGAGTCTACCTATCAGAGAGTTATTCCACATACGAGACCTAATTGAGAGGTCAGAGAAAAGATTTAATATATTATATATTATATATATATAATATATATATATATATATATATATATATATATATATATATATATATATATATATATATATATATATATATATATATATATATATATATATATATGAAAATGAAACTCACACCCCAGAAGTGACTCGAACACATACTCCCAGAAGCAACGCAACTGGTAACTACAGGGACGCCTTAATCCGCTTGACCATCACGGCCGTCAAAAGGAAGTGATAGCCGAGGCTATTTGAGCCACTTCCCCGACGGCAACTCGGATGGTAATCTTGGGCATAGCATTTCACCAAATCACCTCATTCTTTGGGGCACACGTGAGGAACACAAATGCGAACAAGCCTGAATGGTCCCCAGGACTATATGCGAATGAAAACTCACACCCCAGAAGTGACTCGAACCCATACTCCCAGAAGCAACGCAACTGGTAACTACAGGGCGCCTTAATCCGCTTGACCATCACGGCCGTCAAAAGGAAAAGGAGTTTTCATTCGCATATAGTCCTGGGGACCATTCAGGCTTGTTCGCATTTGTGTTCCTCACGTGTGCCCCAAAGAATGAGGTGATTTGGTGAAATGCTATGCCCAAGATTACCATCCGAGTTGCCGTCGGGGAAGTGGCTCAAATAGCCTCGGCTATCACTTCCTTTTGACGGCCGTGATGGTCAAGCGGATTAAGGCGCCCTGTAGTTACCAGTTGCGTTGCTTCTGGGAGTATGGGTTCGAGTCACTTCTGGGGTGTGAGTTTTCATTCGCATATAGTCCTGGGGACCATTCAGGCTTGTTCGCATTTGTGTTCCTCACGTGTGCCCCAAAGAATGAGGTGATTGGTGAAATGCTATGCCCAAGATTACCATCCGAGTTGCCGTCGGGGAAGTGGCTCAAATAGCCTCGGCTATCACTTCCTTTTGACGGCCGTGATGGTCAAGCGGATTAAGGCGCCCTGTAGTTACCAGTTGCGTTGCTCACTTCTGGGAGTATGGGTTCGAGTCACTTCTGGGGTGTGAGTTTTCATTCGCATATAGTCCTGGGGACCATTCAGGCTTGTTCGCATATATATATATATATATTCTATTTATATATATATATATATATATATATATATATATATATATATATATATATATATATATATCTATATATATATATATATATATATATATATATATCTATATATATATATATATATATATATATATATATATATATATATAGTGTTGCACAACCAGGTGGCGCTGCCACCCACAGGGAAGCAGCCAAATCCCGTAAGTATAGAGAACTGGATCACCACTACAATTTTGTCCCCATTGCTTCTGAGACGCTCGGCGCCTGGGGTAAAAGTGCTACCAGTTTTTTGAAGGAAATGGTTCTAGGCTCATTGAAACAACAAGGGACCCGAGAGCTGCAAGCTTTCTTTTCCAGCGCCTCAGTGTGGCGATACAGAGGGGAAATGCGCACTGCATCCAGGGTTCCTGCCCGCCATCTGAGGAGCTGGAGGAACTCGACAACCTATGACAACCATCTTTGTAACCCATATGTAACTCCTTTTTTGTAACAAAGTTCAAATAAAGTAAATATATATGTGTACATACAAAAGAATGGGGGTGGTAGGAGAAGATAATATTAGTGTTCAGTGAGAAACCACAAGGTCTCCTCTGAATACTTTTTATTTTCTTCTCCGAGGCTATGGGTCCCCACATTGGCACCAGAGGTGGTACCCTCACAAACTTTAAAAAAAAAAAAAAAAAATAAATATATATATATATATATATATATATATATATATATATATATATATATATATATATATATATATATATATATATATATATATATATATATATATATATATATATATATATAATACCCGCGAGGCTCGCGAGACGACGGCATGACCTTACTTGAGCAACAGAGGTCGTGAGAGAGGGTTGCTACACCATGAAGTTTTCCTTGGGCAACTATAGTGCTTCACTACCTCTACTAGGGTCCTCCTCAGCTCTCCTGGCTGCTACACCATGAAGTTTCCTCGAACAACTATGGTGCTTCACCACCTCTACAGAAGCACGTGACACTCCTCTTCACTGCTTCAGCCGGAATAGAACGGTTTTCGTGTACATCTTCCATCGGTAATATAAACGGAAAATCAAGAACATTTTAGTTAATTCTAATGAAAACACATTGTTTTTTTATCATTTGTATTGGAAACAACATTGTCTTATGTCTTTTCTTGGATCTATATAATACGAAACCTCGCTCTATGATTTGAAGATTAAATCCTCAAATATGTTAAAATAGTGACTTTTTTCACGTTTTTCATGTAGGTTGATATTACGTAAATATATTCATTTTTACCAATATTTCGATACTATTTCATGTAGTATCACAATATGTGATTTGGCCTTCAAATCTCAGAATGTCGCAACATATTGCATTTTAAGCAAATTTCTTGCATTTTGTTTTGTACGAGAAATCATCGAAATTAGCAATATTTTGACGTTCATCATCCCCTTTTCCTCTATGTGATTTAAACAAAATATCATCGAATTAGGCAATATTTTGCCGTTTTTCCACGTTTTGTGAATTTCAGTTTATGGGTATAAATTCATTATATATACGATAAAAATAATGCAAACATATAATTGATAGATAATAACCTTAAATACTTCATTTTCAATCAACTATTTGTTTCTCGTTAAAATACTGAGTAAGATATTGAAAAGGGGAGAAGTTCTGTTTTTATTGAATATATATCGACGTTTCAGCCGGAATAGAGATGTTTTCGTGTTCATCTTCCATCGGTAATATAAACGGAAAATCAGGTTTTTTGTTGTTAATTCTAATGAAAACACATTGATTTTTATCATTTGTATTGGAAACAACATTGTCATATGTCTTTTTTGGATCTAAATAATACGAAACCTCGCTCTATGATTTGAAGTTAAAATCCTCAATTTAATTAGAAATTAGAAATTAACCTTAAATGCTTCATTTTCTATCAACTATTTGTTTCTCGTTAAAAAACTGAGTAAGATATTGAAAAGGGGAGAAGTTCTGTTTTTATTGAATATATCGACGTTTCAGCCGGAATACAGATGTTTTCGTGTACATCTTCCATCGGTAATATAAACGGAAAATCAGTTTTTTTTTTTGTTAATTCTAATGAAAACACATTGATTTTTATCATTTGTATTGGAAACAACATTGTCATATGTCTTTTTTTGGATCAAAATAATATTAAACCTCGCTCTATGATTTGTAGTTAAAATCCTCAAATATGGTTAAATAGTGACTTTTTTCACGTTTTTCATGTAGTTTGATATTACGTAAATATTTTCATTTTTACCAATATTTCGATACTATTTCATGTAGTATCACGATATGTGATTTGGCCTTCAAATCTCAGAATTTCGCATAATATTGCATTTTAAGCAAGTTTTCTTGCATTTTGTTTCGTACGAAAAATCATCGAATTTAGCAATATTTTGACGTTTATTATCCCCTTTTCCTTTATGTGATTTAAACAAAACATCATCGAATTAGGCAATATTTTGACGTTTTTCCACGTTTTTGTGAATTTTCAGTTTATGGGTAATAATTCATTAGATATACGATAAAAATGATGCAAACACATAATTGATTAGATAATAACCTTAAATACTTCATTTACAATCAACTATTTGTTTCTCGTTAAAATACTGAGTAAGATATTTAAAAGGGGAGAAGTTCGGTTGTTATTGCATATATCGACGTTTCAGCCGGATTAGAGCGGTTTTACGTGTACATCTTCCATCGGTAATATAAACGGAAAATCAAGAACATTTTAGTTAATTCTAATGAAAACACATTGTTTTTTATCATTTGTATTGGAAACAACATTGTCATATGTCTTTTCTTGGATCTAAATAATACGAAACCTCGCTCTATGATTTGAAGTTAAAATCCTCAAATATGGTAAAATAATGACTTTTTTCACGTTTTTCATGTCGTTTGATATTACGTAAATGTATTAATTTTTTCCCATATTTCGATACTATTTCATGTAGTATCACGATATGTGATTTGTCCTTCAAATCTCAAATGTCTCGTAATATTGCATTTTAAGCAAGTTTTCTTGCATTTTGTTTCGTACGAAAAATCATCGAATTTAGCAATATTTTGACGTTTATCATCCCCTTTTCCTCTATGTGATTTAAAAAAAATATCATCGAATTAGGCAATATTTGGCCGTTTTTCCACGTTTTTGTGAATTTTCAGTTCATGGGTATTATTTCATTATATATACGATAACAGTATGAGCCTCTACATCACTCTCTTCATCCTCTGCATCCATCTCTTGATCATCTCCATCACTCTCCTTGGCCCCTGCATCAATTTCTTGAGCCTCTGCATCACTCTCTTGAGCCTCTGCATCACCCTCTTAAGCCTCTGCATCCCTATTTTGAGCCTCTGCATCACTTTCGTAAGCCTCTGCATCCCTTTCTTGAGCCTCTGCATCCCTCTCTTGAACTCCTGCATCCCTCTCATG